TCCAGCCAGATCTATCTTGCATGTACCTTATCACCCTGGCCTACGACTTCCATCCTCAAGTAATTAACGGCGTGATAGTCGTACTCCTGTGCTAAAGAAGCTTTGTCATTTTGCCTTATCTTATCATGAGTGTTAGCTCCGCTCTGTATATACAGAATATAGAGAAGAGAAATAAAGCACAGTCAGTTTTTTTGAAACGTAGAAATCTTTATTAAAATACACCAATGAAGTAAATGAGAAGTCACATGATTTACGAAGTAATCTAGATTGCTCAGATTGTTGGTCAGTATTTTTCTAGGATGGAATGGGTATTTGAGATTAAGTGTAATTTTCTTAAATGGTAAGAGTGGCTGGTGTTTAGAATTTTAAAATATTTAATACGTAAGATGAATAGTTATTTGTATTATCTGTAATATGATGGATTGTCTAAAATAAAGTATTTAAATATTTTTTAAAAAAGAAAAAAGGACTGTCAGCACTATGGGTGTATGTATTAATATAGGGGTCATGTATTTGCACTCTGTATCTGAAGAAGTAGGTTTTGATCCACAAAAGCTCACATACATGTAAATCTGTTAGTTTTTGAAGTGCCACAATATGTTGTTTCCCCACTCTTTCTCTTCCCCTCCCTATTTTTTTTCTTTTTCTCATTTAAGTTTGCCAACACACAGCTACAGTACGTCTTAGAAAATTACATTCAGTAGGGTTGACTTCCAGAGAAGGCTGCAGAATCCAAGCCAGATTTCTTCATGTAAATCTGTTAGTTTTTGAAGTGCCACAATATGTTGTTTCCCCCCTCTTTCTCTTCCCCTCCCTCTTTCATGAATTTCATATGTGTACCTTTGAGATGCAATTGGCCTTGGAGTCTGCTCCATGTTAATGTGGGGAGTCTTGAGGCAGGAGGTACTGCAGTCTTCTCCAGGGCCACCTCAAGATATTTCGATGCTTGAGGCAAAGCAGCCAACAGTACCCTTCCTTGCCCCCACCTACAGAACAGAGGAGCATGATACCTAAATCCACTCAAGTAATTTTTGCACATGAAGCAGAAAATCCTACAAGTGCCTCTCCTCTTTCTAGGAGGTAAAACAAAGTAAATATGTAATTTGCTGCCTTTTCATTGACATCCAGAATCTGTCTTCTGAGAGAGTCACCCAACCTTGCCTAATGGTAGAGCTGGCCCTGGTCTTTTAAAGTGGCTTTCATCCTCTCTAGAATTACTATAGTATGTGGGTTCATGTAGGGCTACCAGCCTAGAGAGTAAGGCTTTCTTGAAAATCCTAAGCTCCAGTACATCTCTTTTTAGGAATTAATGATTTATTTATTTATTTTATTTTATTTTATTTATATCCCGCCTATCTGGTCGGGTCAGGACCACTCTAGGCGGCTAATGATGCTGTTCTCAGACACCCTATCCCCCCTTTTTTTTTCATAGATGTGTTCCTCCTCCCACTCCCTCTGTTCCATCCTGAGTAGCACATGGAGCATGATAGAGAAGCCCTCAGCCCTGGAGGATGGGGTTGTTGATACACCTGGGATCTTGGACATCACATTCCCTGGTGACTGTATAAGCCAGGATGAGGTAAGAGGGGGATTGAATAAGACCAAGATGCATTTGATTATGTGCTGTCCATGGGGAGTGTCCCAGTGTTTTCTGTTAAGAAGGATCAAGAAGCAGTTGTTGGGGGAAATCTCTGTCTTGAGACCATGGAGAGCTGGTCCTAGATAAAGTAGAGCTGAAGGTGACTTCTTTGGACTACATCTCCCAGTATACCTTACCAGCAGGGTTGCGGTCGTGCTGGCTACAGATTCTGGAAGTTGGAGTCCAGTAAAGTAACCTTTCCAAGATCTGCAGTAGAGACCACACTACCAGTCTTAACTAGACCTCAGATCTGACTCAGTACAGTACAGGGGAGTTCCATATAACCTTCCTAAGAAATTGTTTTGTTTTGTTTTTGTCTTGCATTTGTACAGTCTAGCAACATGGAAATGATTAAGGAAACCTGCAATATCATTAGAAAATGGCAAGTTTGATAGGTGCTTGATTTTTTTTTTTACATAGCATTGGAATTTTTATCATTGATGGCAAATGCATGTTGTCCAAGCCAGAGACAAGCGTTTGGGGAGGAGAGCTGAAAACAGTTCCCTATTGCTGGGAGGTGAGGTTAAGAGTGCAAAGCCTCTTCCAAGATGCTTGGCAGAATGCAACCAAATCCCTGTTCTAAAACAAACCAAACTACATCCTATGCTGTGATTGTGATGTTCATATCTTGTTACATTACTGTCTTATCCTTCTTTAGCTTCTATAGTTGTCAGTAAATATTTCACGACACCAAGCCACACAGGTTTACTTATGTGCTAGAAAAAAAGAAATCTAGAAAATGGCTTCCCTGAGATTGCATTTTAAACAGCCGGATGTTTCGGGTATTGGTGACAAAAATGTCAATCCCATGTGCAATTTATATGGGAGCATGATCCACTGAATTTAGGAGAGTGTACCTCTGTGTATACATGCCTAATAGAGTTTGGCTGCATGACAGTGGTCCAGGAGCTGCAGGGTACAAATGCAATTTGAATTCTTTTAGGTGGCTTGTAGCACAGAAACTCTGAATCAATTGATATTCATATAATCCTCCTTCCCCAGCTATGTGTACTCCAGACATGCTGGATTCTCCTCATATACAGACCAGTTGGGTGTGGATAATGGGGACTGCAGTTCAACCCATCCAGAGGGAACATGATTAGAGAAGCCTTTCCAAGCTTCTTGCAAAGATAATTAGCATGAGTATGTGATCTATTTCATTGAGTGCGTTGGGGAATGTATATACATGTAGAATATAGAATGTGGGTACAGTGGTGCCTGACTTAACGATCACCTCATTAAACAACGAATCCGGTTGATGATGAGGTTTTTGTGATCGCTTTTGCAATTGCAAAACGATGTTTTAATGGGCAAAATTCGCTTCCCGATGATCGGTTCCCTGCTTTGGGAACCGATTCTTCGCATTACGACGATCAAAACAGCTGATTGTCGGGTTTCAAAATGGCCGCCCGCTGTGTAAAATGGCTCCCCACTGTGCTTTAGGACAGAGTTTTCGCTGCACAGGCATTGGGAAATGGCTGCCCTATGGAGGATCTTCGCTGGATGCTGAGGTATTTCGCCCATTGGAACACATTGAACCGGTTTTCAGTGCATTTCAATGGGCTTTTTTATTTCTCTTGACAAGGATTTTGCTCTACAGCGATTTCGCTGGAACGGATTATCCTTGTCAAACGAGGCACCACTGTATATAGAAATGGATACATAATATATTTGGGGCAAGTAATAAAGTGTAAAAATTCAGCGATTTCGCTGGAACGGATTATTCTGGGAGGCAGTGGAAGACAGGAGGGCCTGCCGTGCTCTGGTCCATGGGGTCATGAAGAGTGGGACATGACTTAACGACTGAACAACAACAATAATAAAGTGTGGGAAATCTAATCAGAGAATAGATATGGAGAGAGAAATAAGACTTGCAGGGTCAGATTTTCATAAATAAAGTAAAATTCTTGAAACAAAAAACATTAATCTAAAATTAAGTTTGTAATCATTGTGTCCTGCCAGTACAGATTTATGCTGCATGAACCTGGAATGTTAACAAACTCCACAGTGGAAAAGCTCACAAAAACTCAAAGAGCAATGGAACGACAAATGCTAAATATCTGACCAATAGATAAAGTAAATAATTAATTTGTTCCACAACAGACAAAAATAATAGATGTAAAAGAACAATTAGCGTAATTAGAATGAATATGGGCAAGCCACACCATGAGGCAAGTAGATGGATGACATAATAAACAAATGTATCAGTGAGGATCTTGGATTGGAAGAAGGAGTACTGGAGGGTGGCAGACTAAATGAAAGGATGATTCTAAAAGATCAGCAAGACTGAGATGGATTAGAATAGTGCAAAAGAGGAGGCCTTTATTGAACATTGGATGTCAATGTGCTAATAAAGAAGTGATCTATTTCAGACATCTTCTGGATGGCATCTTTGAACATACTGGTTGTTTTTTTCTCTCATTCTCTCTTAGCTATATTCATATTTCTCTCTTTAGCCTTTTATACAGCATAGGAAGCCACATACACAACTGAATTGCTCATAGTCACCCTGAGGTCTTGGGACAGGGCAGGCTAGAAATAATAATTGTCATATCAATGTTTGGCTGAAATCCTGTGACTTTGTTAACATATGCGGAAAGCAAATGGCGTAATTTTCATTACCTTCTAGCTGGCAATTAATAAGTGCTAACAGGGATTCTTGAGTGTGTACCAGGCTGTGTCACTCCTAAGAATCCCAGTAATGAATTGTTAATTGCAGCTAGAAGAGGCGGATTGTTATGCAGTTTGGTTTCGACATGTGTAACAAAGCAACAGGATTTCAACCATTGAATATTTGTGTGGAATTGCAACAAGCCTTATGATTCGTCTTTGATGAGAAAGGCAAGATTTAACCATGTTTTGGAGGAAAATGTGGAAAATTGTAGGATGCGTTTTAAATTAAGGTGTGGAAATCTGAGGAGTTGGGATAATGGTTTTGTGTTCATTGTTCCCATGATCTTAACCTTTTATATTGCTCAGCTTATCCTATTCAATTATTTGCCAAACATATCTTTTCTTTTCTGTCTTGCCTCAATCCTTCTAGTTTTTTCTCTCCTACTTTTCAAAAGGTTCAGTTAGAATAAAAGCCTATGCATATTATCCACTTGATTTGCATAATTCTAATCTGTCCCAGAATGTTGAGCCAACAGCCAGTGACTTCTTAGCCTAGACACCCTTCATTTCCTTTTAGAAGAGAAATCCATCAGCTGCAGCAGCCATCATTCTCTTCACAGCTGGCTTCCAGATGGAGGGGAAGCTGCCAGAAACAAATGGGTTATTATCCCTTGTGCTTCCTAAGGTTTCCCTCCCAGGGCAGCCAGTTCTGGTGTCTGGTGCTATAAATGTGCTAGTGATGGCAAAAGAGTAAAGACAAATGTGCTCCCCAGCCAGTCCAGTTGCCAATTCGAAGTAAGGTATTGCAAAGTGGGTGGATGGACATCAGACTTGTGGGATCTTTAAATGTGCTCCCCAGCCAGTCCAGTTGCCAGTTCAAAGTAAGGTACTGTATTGCAAAATGGGTGGATGGACATCAGACTTGCGGGATCTTTTTTTTTTTTTTAAACTAGAACCCCCAGATCCTCCAAAGGACATGACAAAAGATGGTACAGAAGACATTATCTGAGAGCTAAAGGATTTTGAATGTACACATTTTCTCTTGGGAATGTAATGTAGATTTTAGGGTGACATAATGTGTGATTAACATAAATCACTGATCCACATGCTTCTTTTTTGCATTCCAAATTTTTACAAAGAGAGAGCATTTTCTGATCATAGAAAATATGTGGCTTTATTAGTGCAGAGTGTCTAGTTTTTGGTGGAGAGACTGTGCAGAGATGCAAAGAGAGAGCAGAGAGGATAACAGGTCTGTAAGTACCTCAGCTGTTTAGCCTCTTTGCCTAAAAGTAATCCACTCAACAAGAAAGAGGCCACTGAAATCAGGCTGCTTAAATTAATCAGTTAATTTGGTTAGGGTATGGCCCTATACTGAAGATATACTGGTTGAAGAGCTGTAGGATTTGGCCAGTGGAACCGATATTCCACCACTATGAAATAAATGCCAGGAGAGTATCAAAGATAAGCTGGTGACATACCATGAACCAGAGAGGATTGGTCCGGTTTGGCAAAGATAGATAAAATAAAGCAGAGTCATGGCTGGCAATGTGGTTGGAAAAGAAAGGAGGCATTTCAATCCTACCCAATAACTCTTCCATCAATGGAGTATACCAATGGCGTAACCATTGAAGTTGCAATTTTATACCCACTTCAGATAGTACCTGCTGTACTTGTGTGTGCGTTGGATAAAACCAGCAACAGCCTCCCATGTATTTGTCATATGCAAACCTGCATATATTCAATTGAGTAATTAAGTATTTAAAACTTATTTGATCTAATTGGATGAATGCCCTAGGTGATGAGCAGATGTTGAAGGCAGAGATGTCTGACTTCCTCCCATTCCTTCTTAGGAAGTGACGCCAGACCGAGAGAAAGAAATTAACCGTCTTTCCATCTTCCCTTTCCCACCCTGCGCTGGCTCTATTCTTCGTCGACAACGAGAAGATGGACCAACTCCTATGAAGAGGTGATGGCTCTAGTCTTGCCCTGCCCTACAATTTCTGTCAATCAGCTTCCTGAATTTTAGGATCACCTGTATGGGTGGCTGAGAGATTTTCCTAGGATTTGATTTTTTCAAATAGTGACCTATTTGGGGTAGGGAGTAAGGGAAAGCAATGGGACATAGCTCTGTGCTTCAGGCCTTTTCATTGTGTGGTTAGGGTTTAAGGAATTTCTATGCTTCTTGTGAAACCTGTGGCTAAGGTTGGTATGTGTTCCTCTGGCTCATCCCAAACATTTTAACTAAGACTTTTCTTATTTAAATTGAAGCTGAATGTAAAATTTTAAGATATTCAAGAAAGAAGATTTGTGAGGGAGGGCTGAACACTTGAACGTCCCCACGCCTCTCTTTCCACTGAGGCTTCCTTCCTGCACCACTCCTCCATTCTCCTTGCTGGTCTCCCCTTATCCTCAAGAAAAAAAGAAAAGAAAAGCAGTAATTCCTGTGAATGGGGAGAAGGGTAATAAGTGATAGAAAGCAGAGCATCAGCTAAGAGAAGCCATAGGTGTGCTCTTTCTTATACATTGGAATGAGAATACGTTTCGTTCCATGCTATGCATAATTTCCACCAATGGCCTGACTCCCAGGCCGTCTGCTTGCCCACCGTGACTTTTATTCTCTTTTGAGTCTTGAAGAGGTTACTTTTCTTGTGTGAAACCTGGGTAGCTGGCATCCTGATGTATTTTAATTCTCCCTCCCGCTGCGCTCCCACTCACCCATCTAGAGAGATCAGGCTTGGGATTCTACTCGAGGGGAACATAGTCAGGGCCCCGATGCTCTGCCTTTGGTAAAGAAGCAGGCAGAGATGGGCAGGCAGGGGATAGCCAATGCCAGAAGTGGGGTCTTGTGTTATTTCCCCTCGGCTTTGCCTGGTGCGTGACTAGGTGAATCTTGTTCCTTACTCCTCGTTTCAGAAATGCAGTATGTGTGAGAATCCTCAAAGTATATGAAGGCTGATGCGTCCTTGGCCTACAAGTGATTCTTCTGATGTAGTTGGCAGAGTCAGGTTCTTTTCCAGATTCCCACCTCTTTCCCATCTAGGACCGGGATGTGTGTGTTAGTGTGGAACAATCCAAAAGGCTGGGTATGTGAGGGAACTGGGGAGTAACTTGAGTGCTGCTTTCCATAGCTTCTTTTCTGGCCCATTCTTACTTTAAAATGAAAAGTGGTTCAACTGGGCAATTAAAATCTCATGAAGTTTTCATCCTCTTTAACATTCAGGATTCAAGATGGGTCAGAGAGTGGAGGAATCTTTCTCTGAGCCAGGAAAGAGATGGAAATAGGAGTGTTCGTTCTACCCTGTTTTCTTCTTATTGCAGCCCTGTCTGTGTGGTGCTCTGAGCTATATATGTTGTGGGGTTGTGGGGAGTTAGGGATGGGAATCCAGGTGGAGGCAATGTGTCTGAATTTGCTTGAAAGGCGTACAGGACAGGGGAAAAAGACAGAATGGTTTTAAAAAGTCCCCTTCCCCCCTCCATCTTCAGGTAGCAAATAAATAAATAAATGAAAATAGGTGAGTGGATTTTAAAAAGCACTTTACTGATGAAGATGTTTGAGTTACATATTATTTATTTATTCGTCACTTTGCAATTGTGTTTCTGTTAAATTATTGCACATTGCTTTAAATTGTTTAAACACTTTGCATTGAATTGTTTTAGATACGTTATTAAAGAACTTCATCGTTTGTAGCCCACTTGTTTTGATATTATATTTGTTTAATTTTCTTTTAATATTGTAATAATTTATTGTTTTTAGCTTTTAATATTGTTTCTTTTTTAATCCTGTAAGCCATATTGGATCCTTTTTAGGAGAAAGGCAGGACATAACTATTTAAAATAACAAATAAATTTATTTAAATGAGTAAAATAAATGTCTATCCTACCTTTATGGTTATTAATTCATGATAATGTACATGGTTCTTCTCTTCCTCACTAAACCCTCTCAACAACCCTATGAGGTAGGTCGGCCTGAGAGAGAGTGTTGCTGTGGGTCATCCCAGTCCTACCACTGTGCTGCTGCACTGGTCAAGTAGTGTATCTGGTGCTGAAGCCTGAAAGGGAGTTTGTGCACTATGTTATATATGATAATCAAACAAGATATATGTTGGTGTTGACATACAAAGCCCTTAACTGTTTGGGATTCTGATGTCTGTCAAGAGTGTCTATCTCAAAGAATTCCTCCCAGGCCACACTGAAAGAGGCAAGAAAAATGTCTAATACAAAGTGGTCCTTTTTGGTGGTGGCCCCATCCCTGTAGGACGGTCTTCCCCTGGAGGTATGCCAGGCTGCCTCCCTCCAATCCTTCAGGAAATTGGTGAAGGCAGAGCTGTATAGAGAGGCTTTTGTCAACATACTCCCCCATGATTTGTGTGCTGTTGTTGCATATTGCAGTGTGGTTTGCCAATTTGGTGCAGTGGTTAAACTGCTGTGCTGCAGCCAAAACTGTGCTCACAATCCAGGGTTCATTCTCAGGTATCTGGCTCAGGGTTGATTCAGCCTTCTTTCCTTTGGAGGTTGGTAAAATGAGTACCCAGCTTGCTGGGAGCGGGGGCGGAGGGGGGCAATGTGTAGCCTGCATAATTAACTTGTAAACCACCCAGAGAGTGGGTGCTTTCAGCATTATGGGGTGGTATATAAGCAGCACACTTTTTTGCTTTTTTGCATTCTTATGTTGTATGTGTTATGGAGTGGGGATGGCTGGTTGGTTGATTGATATTTCTGTATTTTTATGTTTCTTATGTAAACTGCACAGAGTAGTGGCTTTTCACTAAGTCAGGTAGTATAGAAATTTCATAAATGAAGAAATATGTTTACCTGTTAGAGAAAATGCACTGAATTTGTTGAAGAAATGGAGGGATGGAGATGTAATCTTTTTTTTTCTTTTTCGTTTTTGAAAGAACATTATATGAAGAGAGAGAGGTTGAGATAGAAACAATACATGTAAGAATCCAAATTAACACCTATCCTTCTGTGTTTCCTTTGTGCCTTTAGTTGGTCTTATGGGTCCTTGGGCAGCTTGGAGGACTTCACAGGTATTGTCCCTTGTGGTTTTCTATTACTGTACAGAGTTTCTTCTTGAAAGTGGTTTGAGAGGGTTGGGGAGAAAGGAGGAACTTCCCAATCAGCTATATCACTGTGCTCCCAGAAGGGGGCACCCTTGCCCCACACTTCTCCTATCAGCTCAAGGAGTGCCTCCAGGGGCTCAGCCAGCCTCATGCATGCATGCATGGATGTGTTCTTCCCCTTCGATTCTGGCTTGGTGTGTTTAATTTATAGAGAATTTTTATTTGACAATTCGATTCAGTTTCAGAGGAGTGGGAACCGGAATTGATAAATGCTCCGACCTGAGGCCCTTATCGGATCTAGGTGACGGGCTGTAAATCTCCAGGGCATGTCCTGTTGTATATCTTTGGGCCTGGCTAGATTTGTGGCATTTTCTGCCTGCTCATCTACCTGACAGAACCAGCTTGTGTGCAAAGGCTGTCTGATTTCTGCATTCAGATGCTAAAGAGTGGGAAGAATATTTGCTCAGAGCCTATTCAATGCATATCAGAAGCCGGATCAGGTTTCTCCTGCTGCCTCTTGTCTGGAGAATTCTTATAATCCAGCCCAGGTATTACCAGAATCCAGGGGAAGTGATGCCGAAGACATCTTCTCTGGAGCTTATAAACAAATTCTTGCAGAATTTGGGAACATTAGGGTTTTAAACCAGAACTCCTAGGGACATAGGAAGCTATTCTGACCACTGGGCAAGTATTAGAGCCCCATGGAACAGTGGTTAAACTGCAGTACTGCAGTCAAGCCTCTCTGCTCATGAGTTCAGTACCAATGGCTTTAGACAGTTGGCTCAAGATTGACTCTGCTTTCCATCCTTCAGAGGTCAGTAAAATGAGCACCCATCTTCTTGGGGTGGGCGGGCAAAGTGTTGCTTGCATAATTATGTTATAAACCACCCAAAGAGTGCTCAAGTATAAGTCAACATCATGATGATGATGATGATGATGATGATGATGATGATGATGATGATGATGATGATGACGACGACTCTGGCAGCAGTGGCTGCCCAGGGTTTCAGGGATGATGATGATGATGATGATGTTGACTCTGGCAGCAGTGGCTGCCCAGAGTTTCAGACTGGATTCATTCCTAGCCTTATTTAGAAATCCTTGGTATTCTCTGGTGGTCTCCCCTCCAAACACTGACCAAGCCTCCCCTCTTTAGCTTCAGAAGTAATATGAGATTGGCATATTTAGGATTGTCTGAAGTGGTATCCAAAAAAGTAAGATTTTCAAGCTGTGTTTCTGTTGCACAGGAGCTGTATTCTGTAAGCAGTCGTGGCACAGTCAAGCAAAATGGCTTGAACTGACAAGCAAGACAAAACTGTTTAACTATAAAGTAATTCCTCATCCCAAAAATCTCAGTTGGAAGACATGAGTGATGGTTCAGAGATAAAGGCTCCCAAACCTGGTGGTCTCCATATGTGTTGCACTTCATTTTCTATTATTCCTAGCCAGTCTGGCCAGTGGCTCTGGATGATGGGAATTGTAATCCAGCACAGTTGTGGGGACTAGACTGGTCTACAAGATTGATATCCATCTGCTTAACTGAAGTAACGAATGCAGGGGTTGCCTGTGGGAAAAGGCCTTGTAGTTTGAGCTTGTCCCGAATTATATTTAGATATCTGTGATCACTTGTTCTCTACCTTTTTTCTGCCAGGAAGCGTCACCACCACAGTGTCTTCTCTCCAATCCCCTTCCTCTTCCAGCAGTGCGCACACCAGGACAAAGTCAGAAAACTGCTTACTTGACATTTCTGATCGGCAAGAGTTTGCCAGGAGGTCTGTTTGCCTTTTCTTCTCCCACTTCCAGCGATCTCTAGGGGAACCTCTCTGAATGTAAACATGCTAGAAAATAGGGCACCCCCTGTCAGTGACTCTGTGTGGCCTGTGCTCATGGTTATATGTCGTCTTTTCCCAAGACCTGTATTCGCTTGCTCCTGGGATCTACACTGTAACTCCTCCTCCTCCAGCCCCCTTGCCTTTCCTTGCATGTCAGGACACTAACATGTAAGGTTGCCCAGTTGATGAAGATGTTGTTTTCCTCCATTGGATGGTGGAGGAACATGACTGCTATGTTCTTTCATTTTGGGACCCTATGTGGGACATTGTGTCTTGATTATAAGTACAGTATTCTGATCACAACTAGGATTGGCTGAACTAACCCTTTGATCTTGTGCTCTACCTCTAAGTGAAAGGGCAGAATAAGGGATTACCCCACCTGCTGGCTGCTGCCGCTTCCTGCCAGGAGGGTATGCACGTCACTGGAACAGAATGCAGCTACAACCTTTAAGCGGAAGTTTCCCACAGAGTTGTGTGTCTCTGTGTGTATGTATTTTCCCCCAGAGCACTTTTAATTGAAAGGAAAATAAAATCAAGACAATCAAAAGACAAATAAAACATCTCTAAGCAATCATAAGAATGGAACATTACCCCTGCTTTAGAAGATTTATATTTTGGTGGAACTGTGCAGCCCTCTCCCTCCTGACATTTCTCAGACATGCTGCGTTACAAACCTTGCCATCCCAGCAGCTGGACTGTTGAGATGATGGTTGTAGCCCAAACTCATCTGGAAAGTACCAGGATGGGGTACAGCAGCAGATGCTTTGTATGCTAAAGATGCCATGTTCAGTGCTTGGTCACATTCCAGCTGATAAAGGATCTTCGGTATAAGTAGGAGATTATGCTCACAGGACTGGAGACCGATCACCTGTAGGCTTGATGGACCAGTGAAACAGGGATGCATCTGAGTGTTCAATCAGGGTAAAAACTCTGCTTATGACATCTGGCCAGTGCCTAGAAAAGTTCCTTTTTGGGCTACAATCAATTCTCACTTGGAAATTTAGGGGATTGTCATCAAATCAACCCTGAATGCTCACTGGAAAGACAGATCCTGAAGCTGAGGCTCCAATCCTTTGGCCATCTCATGAGAAGAGAAGACTCCTTGGAAAAGACCTTGATGTTAGGAAAGTGTGAGGGCAAGAGGAGAAGGGGACAACAGAGGATGAGATGATTGGACAGTGTCATTGAAGCAACCAAGATGAATTTGACACAACTCCGGGAGGCAGTGGAAGATAGGAGAGCCTGGCGTGCTCTGGTCCATGGAGCCATGAAGAGTCGGACACGACTAAACGACTAAACACATCCAAAAAAGACCTTTTTTTTTGCTCTAGGCCTATGTATAAACCATAGAAAATATCTTGTTTCTCTGTGACCCTGACAGATAGCTTAGGTTGAAAGAGAATGATCAGCCCAAAATCATCTAGTGAGCTTTATGACCAAGAAGAGATATGAACCTAGGGCTGTGCTAGTTCCATCTGACCTTGGATTGATCTGTGATGGGAAGAGAAATGTGCTTCTGCTTCCCTAGAATTTAGAAAAGTTACTTCTTTGGACTATAACTCCCAGAATCCCTGGGTTAAGTATTGATGTTTCAGCAGACCAAAGTTACAGGTAAGTAACCTCTTTTTTGTAGGGTTCTCATAGTATCTTTCCAGACAGGGCAGAGCATGCTGGTTTCTTTGCATATGCTTGAAATTTCTCTCCTGGCTTCCTTCCCCACTAGATCTGTTGTGGTGCATTTGTCTGCCACTTCCCCCTTGATCATCCCAGTACCCCAACGCAGAGGCCTGTCTGGAGACATCTCCATCCTTGGAGGGAACAGGACTGGGATTTATGTCCAGTGGGTGAGGCCAGGCTCAGAAGCTGAGAGTGCAGGACTCCGAGAGGGATGCCGGCTGCTAGAGGTATGAGACAAATGGGTGGAATTCCTGTTAACTTTTGACCCAGAAGGACTTGACAAGGAATGGGAATAACTGCAACAATCAATCACTTGGTTGCGCTCCTCCTTTGAAGTCATTAGTTCATCAGGTCAATGTGACAGCACATAACAGCAATAACAAAGTGATGCTTAATGGCTGAGTTGTATATCCATCTTTATTAAGACCATTCAGAACTCAGAGATTTTCCCCCCTTGAACTCCAAATATCTTGGCCAGACTAGCTGTAGGGATTCTGGGAGTTTTAATCCAAAATTGCATTTTTTTTCAAGCGCTGACATCACCTCCAAACTCTTAATCAGACAGTATAGTTAAAAAAAGAAAAAAAAAGGAAAGAATGGAGGAAGGAATGGGAAAGTTAAAAAAACTGACCAGACAGACTTATTTTTGTTCCATCTACCCAGATGAAGAATTTTCTGAAGATCCAGAGAACAGACTACAGTACATTTTTGTAGTACTTCAGTTGGTCCTACTAGAGATTATGTTACCCAAAGATTTTGTACCCATGTTTTCCTATGGTGGACCAACTTGGCTAACTTATATATAGTTATCCTACCTTTCTCCTGAAAAAGGAGTGTAGTCATAAGTAATTAATTACAGGTCTTTGTCCTGACCTGTAGTTTGATCCATGGGAGGGACACAGTTGCGTAGGGTTGAATTGCGTAGGTATGTTGTTTTTTTGCTGCCTTAATTGCAGACTTTTTCATTCCAAGAATATAATTCAGTTGGTATAAAGGCTATACAGTACTCATAATAGGTAGCATTTTATATAGGTTTTGCAGATGTTCAAAGGCTTCTAGAAAGGGCTGTAACTCAGTTGTAGGCCATACATTTTGTATGCAGAAAAAATACCAGATTCAATGTCTGGGAGCATAAAGATGGTGAGAAGCCACTTTGGTTTGAACAATACTGATACACAAATAGTCTGGCCTGATATAACAGGACCTTCCTATTTCCATAAAGTACTTAATATATATTTACATGTAGCCCTTATTGCAGCCCTCTAAAACAGGTCAAGCAAGGTCAACCCAAACACATTCCTCTCTGAATCAAACAACGTAACTTCTCCTGCATTCATTGTACAAAAACTGACCAGAATGGCAGTTGAATCTTAATTCAGCGCTGGTGGCATTTTCTGCTCACGAGGAAAAAGCAGCTTAAGGGGTGAAGAGGACAAGGTCACCTACTACATGCAGCAGTAACATTGGCTGCCCACCCAACATTGGCTGCCCGAGGAGGCTACCTCATCTTGCTTCGTAGTAGGCCCAGTGTTGAGGTGAAGGGTTACGTTCTCCCCATTTTTCAGATAGGAAAATGAAAGAGAAAGTTGCTTAGGGCGCTGTGGTGAGTTCACAGCAGAGGCAAGATTTGAACCTGGGATTTCAGTTTCTCCATCACAAGCTTGCACAACGTATTAAGGGGTTGTCTTATTTGACTGCAGCAACTGAAACTGCAGCAACTGAATCATCATATTTGCCAGTAACTATAAGGGCTGTAATAGGAAAACCCTAACAGAGGTTATGGCTTCCACATCAACCCATGCTTCACTTCTACTTGGCCACTACGTACTTGTATAGCTTGCATAGGCAAGCCTGCTCTCATTCTGGGTTGGATCATGTATCTCAGAGTTGACATATGTGTGGGGATAATCCTGTTTAAAGCGAGCGGGTCGAAATTAAGGAGCCTATTTTCTTAGCCCTGGAAGTGTCCTCTGTATAAGAGGCCCCAGGTGTCCCACTTTGTTTCCGAAAAAGATTTAAAAATCCAGCAGCAGCTTGCAGAGACCTGCTTTAAAGCATGCATTCATTAGCCTTTTTCCTTTGTCGTCTTGTATTAAGATTACTGAGGAGTTGGATAGAGAGGTAGAAAATGCAGCTTTTTTTGTCCAAAAATATTAGTCTGATGCTAACGATGCTTGATCCATGCATCTCCTTTCCATGTGTGTTTCTCTGGTAGCTTAGGGGGACTCAGCTAAATGGAGAGGTTCTCTCCTTGGAGAACTGCACACGCGAAGTAGCTTACCTAAGTCTATTGCACTGGGATGACCCATCTGCTCTCCTTTTTCTGCCTGATATGAGAGGTAAGGTGCTTTAACAGTACATGATACATGTGGCTTTTTATGCTTAATTCATCTGGACAGCCAAGGCTATATGTATTCTGCACATCTGTGATGGCGATTTAGAAATACGGAACAATATTTGGCCTAGAATTCCATACCTTTCAAATTTCATTGAAGTATTAAAAAACAAAACAAATGAACACTAAGTTACTAGTCCCTATAGTGACAGGATAAACTCTCAGAATCCAGAGATGAGACTGCATAAGATTTCTCAGTATCAGAGGGAGTTGCTTCAGTGTAGTACTACTATGTTTTTCCCTCTTGATGGAGGGAGCCTCATGGCACTGCTGTTAAACAGTTGTACTGCAGCCAAACTGTGCTCACAGCTTAGGGTTCAGTCACAGTTAGCTGGCTTAAGGTTCATTCAGCCTTCTGTCCTTCTAAGGTCAGTAAAATGAGTGCCCAGCTCAGTGTGTAGCCTGCATACTTGTAAACCACAGAGAGAGTGCTGAAAGTGCTATGGGGTGATATATAAGCAGCACACTTTGCTTTGCTTTGATGCCAAAGATTTGCTAAGAAATTCCCACTTCGGAGGTCCTCTCAAAAACATTATCTTTGGCCATTCGTCTTTCCCAGCTTCGTACCTTCAGATCTGTTGGCTACAGCCTGCTTCACACAGCCAGGAGAGCCAAGCTGGAGGCAGTGGGAGTTGTGCTCCAATGCATTTTGGAGAAGCCCCAGCTGGGGAAGGTTGCTGTGGAGAATTGGTTCCTGGCACGCAGAAGTTTGTCCCAGCTTGATGTGCACTTCTCCATACAGCACCTTGGCACTTATATTCCTGCCACAGTTTATATAGCAATGTTTCATTATCACAGAAAGGTGTATTTCAAGTACAGTAGGACCACTTTATCCACAGGGGATTGGTTCCAAGCCTTGCAGAAGATGCTGAGAACCATGGATAATAGTGAACACAATACCTAGCATGGTGAAATAAAAAATCCAGAAAAAAGTGCTTTCACCATGTATTATCAGAACTGGCCACTGGAGGGAGGCAGAGGCCATGCTATGTATTCTTCAACAACAAGGATACATAACATCTACTCTACCTCTACTGGCCAGTTCTGGTAAATATATCATGAAAATATGTATTTTTAGCTTTTTAAAATATTTTTAATATTTTCAGATTGCAGATAAGTGAAACAGCGGATACTGATCCAGTGGATATGGGGGTCCTACTATATCCACACACGTGTCACAACTCTCTTTTTCCTTACTCTTCTCTGCCATTTCCGCCGCCCTTTTACCCATATCTTTTGCCACTGTTCAAATCTCTTCTTCTAATTCTATATCTAGCAATCCAAATAGTGTTGAACTGACAAGACATAGTAAGACTTTGAATTAGTGCTGTATCAGTTTAGTGCTATAGCATTCAGTTTAGTGCTATAGTGCTGAACCAGGAGAATTTTTTTAATGCGATTAATGCAAGCAGGCAAAAAGAGTAGCATTTGCTCCCGTATTTATTTATTTAATTTTTTATTTAAAATATTTTATCCTACCTTTCTCCTTAAAAGAACCCAAGGTCGGTACCGTGCCCCACTCTGCATTATCAGGGATGTCATCTGGATGCACCCAAACATGGTCCTAAGACTGATATCAGTGATCATACAAGTCAAAACAAAGACAAAATAATGTGCATAGAAACACTTCATAAAGCACAAGTCACGCTGGCTGAAGAAAATGTCTCCCGTATTCATGCCAGAGGATTAGATCTACTTGTGATTAGTGATAATGTTGTTGACAGAAAAAGATGTGTATATCAATGGTGAGCAATATGGCAGAAACAATAGGGTAAATACCTATTTGATCCCTCCCATAGTCATGTCGTAATCCTCAGGCTTTGAGTCTTATTCTTGGAGTGGTTGCTACCATCTTGCTGCCTTATCAATGGAAAGCAAGGCACAGCACCTCACTTCCACCCTCTGGGCAGAGCAAATACTGGGAACCAAACATCCATGTCCCATTAAGTCATATTTGCTTCTTTGATGCAGGAGGAAAACCCAAGTGGTCCCTAAATGGCTTGGCAGGATTTTGGGATCTCTTGTATTGTGAAACTTTCTATGGGTTTTATTCCCTGAGCTGTGGTTAATTATGCAGAGGGTGAATAATGGTCGTTCATGAAATAGAGCATTTCACATAGTATGTCATCCCTTCATGTCTCTTAGTAGCTGTTAGCCATGATTTAATTTATTTATTTGATACCGTATGTGTCCTGTATTTCATGGGACTAAAAGAGGCTCAAAACAACAATAATGTGCAGGGGAAGGGAGAGAGAAAAAAGGATCATATGAAAGCATAACTAAACACATTGTGAGGTTGAAACACAATGGGATTAAAAGGCATTAGAAGGACTGCACTAAGGAGAGCCTTTGCCTTTGGCCGGTAAGGAGGGCAGCCTCACCTTGAAAAGGCATTTTCGCAGCCACTGATAAAGTCCTAAGTTGAGCACCTGTGTTTGGCAACATTTCAGATAGCGTTAAGGGGGGGGTTGCCCTTATCTCCTGTTTGTGGGCTTCTAAGGTGAACTTGGGAGGGTGGAAGACAGGATGTTCTGTTTGGTGGACTTCAGACCTGATCCAGCGGGTCTCTTCTTAACTTGCCTGCTCTTCTCTTTGTTAGGATACCAGCCTCTCAAAGATGCTCTCGATGCTGGCCGGAAGGTTCCCGGTGACTCTTTTTATGTGAAGGCCAACCTGAATCTCCTGGAGCTTACGGACCCTAATGCCCTGTGTGTGAAGTGCCGGGAGGTTCTACATGTCACCGACACCTTGCACAATGGGCGGCTGGAATGGTATTGTGCCCGAGTAGACCCCTTCACCCTGAAGGACTTGGACGAGGGTACAGTGCCAAATTATAGCAGGTGATGGGCCACATGGGCAGAAGACCCCATTCTTGTGTGTTGGTCTGTTTGTTGAAGAAGCTATGTTTAGAGAAGTTACTTTGTTTGGATTTTTTTTACCAATCCCCAGCTGACATTTAGTACCCTCCTTGAAAAGAGAGAAAGTTATTTTCCAACCTTTGTGACAAAGAAAGAATAGTTCACTATATTTCCTTAAGGAGGGACCTTAGTGCAATGGCTAGCTTGGCATGAAGGTTGTTAATTTGTAGACTTGCATAATTTGGACACAAAATGAAAGAACAAAGTTAATTTCTTAATTATTCCTGCCCTTATCCCCTGTTTTGGTTTGGGCAATTGTAGCGTTTGGGTTGTGTGAGTTTTCAAACCGCAGAGCCAGGGGTGGAACCTTGAGCCTTCCCGATGTGTTGGAAATCAATTTTTGGAAATCCTAGCCAGCAGGGTCAGTGGTAAGGGACTATGGGAAATGTAGTCCAAAACATCTGAAAGGCAAGAGTTTCCCCAGCCCTGCCATAGAGCAATGCATTTCCGGGATAACAGGGTTGCTGTAGGAAAACGGAACAGATTTTTTTTTGGGGGGGGGAGGATTGCAAAGGACACCTCCTCCTTTAGTTAATTTCCGAAATAAAGGCTTTGTTTAATGCTATGTATTTAAGAAATGCAAACAGCTGGAGGATGCGTCAGGGCCTTATGAAGCACTCTGCCCACAGAGGATTTTGCTGGTGTCTCATCTGCAGGTTTTGAGTAGTTTTCGCAATACATTCTTATTTAAACAGGGTTTTAAAGTCCATTTTGTAATATTCATGTAATTTACTGGATTAATATTAGATGGACTTGGGGTTTAGAGTGCTAATTGAGTTTTATTTTGTCCTGTGCTTCAATTGTGTTTCGATTGGATTTTGAGAGAAGGCTGATTATCCATTTCTGAATAAATAAATGTAAGTGCTGGGCAGCCACTGCTGGGTTAAGGCAGTGGAGAGGGAAATTGGTGGCAGTTTTGAGAGGGATGGAGAGCAAGTGGAGAGAGATGCATAGCTACTGTGATGTAAATGCTTTGAGAACTGTAGAGAATTGACAGTGCTGCCCAGTGGATAAGACAGGAGTTGGCAGTCCCTGAGTTCAAAGAACTGGTCTTCATAGGTCAAAGTCTCTTCATTGGCCTTACTAGAATTTAGAAAAGTTCCTTTTTTGAAGTATTGCTATCAGGGCTTTCTGGCCAGCATGGGAGTTGTAATCTACAAATGTTAGAAAAGTTCCTTTTTTGAAGTATTGCTGTCAGGTCTTTCTGGCCAGCATGGAAAGATTCTGGGAGTTGTAATCTACAAATTGAATGGGTTGGTCCTGTATGACTCATTGGTGATGAGTGAGATGATCATTCCATAAAATAGGGATGGAGGAGAGGCATGGAGCAAATGGCAGACGTTGCTGGAGTTGAACTCCTCTTCACCCCACCATTGGTTCACCTGGGTGTACCTGATAAGAATGGAAGCCCAGCAATACCAGAAGGACCACATAGTCCCTGGTCCAGCTTTTACAGATTCCCATCCAGTTGTACTAGAGGAATCAACCCAGTTGTAAAATAGTTGGAAGAGAGTGAAAGTAAGTAGTTTGGACATAAAAGCCATGGCTTTGGCCCTTAGTAATTTAAATTAGTGATTTGCAGCACATTTTGCTAGACCAAAGAGGCTGTTGAGATCTAACCAGGGGCCAGTTTACAAAAGGAAATGAAGTAAACTCCCCCCGCCCCACTGTAACTAGGTACTGTATAAAAAACTAGACGATAGGCTCCATCTTTTCAAAAGGTATTCCCCTGCCACTCTCTCCTTCAAAGACAGTGCTGTAACATATTGTTCACTGTTTAGAAAACAAAGGGAGTGGTTTTTTTTTCTTGTAAACGAATGAGAGTTGAAGTCCCCAAACATCTGGCATGCCACCAGTTCCTGACTTCCAGAAAATTGAAAGGGTTACTTTTCTTTTACTGGCCATGATGTTCAGTGAGTCACACAAATGACTTTTCTAAAGTTTACTGAATGTACAGTTGATAGGAGAAGCCCAGGAGAGGAGATCCGAAGAATTAATTGTAGGTCCCAAAAAGTGACTTTTCCAAGCTCTGGTAAGGATGAAAGAAGTCTGAATAGGTTGTGATCAATATAAAGACCCTATAAATGGCAGGTAGCTGTACCTGTGAGTGCCCCAGTGTGCCTGTCAGCAGCACACTATCTCTTTTCCATTAACCATTGACCAGGTTTCTAATTTCTGTCTTCATTTCAGGGCTCAGCAACTCTTGAAAATCCAGACAGCAACACGGCAGAAAGGCAGCAGGACTAAGGTGAGCCAGAGGTGAGAGACTGGAGAGGAGTGATCTACAGATCTGTATTTAGAGAGTTGTACTTTGGGTTTGAGGTTAGAGCTTGGAAATAATTACATTTTTGGACTAGAAATCCCAGAATCCCCCAACTTCATGGGCAGTAGAATGCTCCCTGGGGAATGCTGGTAGTCCAAAAAAAAGTATTTTGTCCATAACTCTGACTGGGACAACATTTAGCTTGGATGAGATTTATTATTTTTGCTGATATGTATATTTCTTTTTTCTTGGTCTTACTAGTCTATCAGACTTTTTAGTGGATTGTTGTTTGGCTCGGCGAATTCAATCTCTGGCTGTGGGGCCAGAGGTCAAGAGTTTGATTCCACACTATTCCTCCTGGGAGAAGAGCCAGCCTGTATATCCTTGGGCAATCTGTACAGTCCCAGGGTAGTCCTGGAAGAAAGAATTGACCCCTGTCTGGCTTGGAGCAGAGAGGAACGGGTTCAGTTTCACTTCAGACACAGTGATCAGCAGATGCCATTAGGCCATGTTAGCTCTTAGACAAGTTTACCTTACAGAATAAGGTAAATACGTTGTAATGCACGCCAGCCTGTGCTTCATGGATGAAGAGCCAGATTTCGGTGTGGTTAATTCTAGCAACAAGGTCCCCCCCCCCCCAGAACTGTGTGATATAATAGCAAGAAGAGCATCTCTTTTAGTGTGTACAAAATGCTTTTCTCTAAACTGTTCTGTAACAAATTTGGAAAAATCTGGGATTGTTGAGGAACATGTTGTATGTTCAAGGCCCCTCAGATAGTTGAGGGGGGTACAGGGTATATATGTTCTAGATACACTTCCAATGAGAGGATTTTAGTGCTGACATTTTTTAAAAATAAACACACACTGATCTGGGGTAAGGAAACCTCACCACCACTAAATCTGAATGGGGGACCTTTCCCTAATCTAGGTCTCCTCCCTTGTAAACACATTATTGACCTAAGAGGAATTAGAGGATTGGTTCTCTGACATCAGTATTTACTTGGGTTTATTTAAAGAAGCCTTCTGCAACTTCCACCCTCCAGATGTGTTGCTCATGGGGTCAGTGGGAGTTGTACTCCAGCACATCTGGAGGTCAGTGAGATGGGGAAAGCTGCTTTGACAATGGAATGGAACTTAGACAATGCAGGAGCCAGACAGTTGATGTCTTGTTCTGACTGGGTATAAGAAGAATAACTGGGGGACAGGAATAGCATCTCTGCATGATATCTCAGCAGTGGTGGCTATTTTCTGTGCCAGCACAGCATTTTCTTAGAGGTAGCATCTTGTTACTGGCAATGTAAAGTGATGTCTCTCATTGTTTTCCCGAGGTGTTTCTCAAAGGATATTGGAGAGAGGAGAATTTGTAACTGTTGATATGCCCCAGTTCGCCTGGGGAGTTGTATCTCAAGACAATGTCTGTTTAACTTCCAGTAATAAACATGTAGCTGTCATTTTATAGGCATCTGAGTGATGCATTCTCTGTTCTCTGTGTCTCCCTCCCCAACCCCCAATATTTTTTCTTGGTTTCCTTCAGCTAAAAAAACGGGCCTTGGATCAGCTTCGCCTGGTGAAACAAAAACAACATGGAGGGCAGAGTGAAGGCCTTCAACTGGATCTTTTCCTAGGTGAATGGCACCCCTCCCAACCCCATGTCTACATGTGCCTGCATGTATAGAAAGAAGCTTGCTCGTAACATAATACTGCCATTCCACACAAGTAACTCCCAGGGGACAGTTCTACTGCCCTGGAGTATATTCTGTATATTAGAGTAGTATGTCTTTTCAGTATTCATGAGATTTCTATTATTTATGTACACTGTAATTTATTAAGATGGAAATCCTGTGCATTACTATAGCAGCTGACAATGAAATGTTAAAAACCTGGCAGAAGGAATGCTGTATATATAAAAAAGGAACTTAAAAACCCAGCAGATTTAGAAAATCAGCACATAAATAATAGAATCTGTAAGATTTGTAGAATGACAGCCAAACTCCTGTTGAATTTTTATGGTCTAATTTTTTTCTGGCAAATTTCAGCAAATTAAGTAGTTGCTGTGGCCATTTGTTGTGGTGCATCAAGTCTCACAATTTGGCGTGCAACCACAAATGCCTGTGTTAACAACCCACCAATGAAATTTACACTGTGGAGAGGAGGACCGATCAGATGGTCTGCCCATGCAGATTATTGGATCTTGTTGGTTTCCAAAATGCCTTGGGTGAGTTTCTGGATGAGCTGGTTGGTGTGAGTGTCAAAGCTCAGCTTGCTGAATGGAATACTGTGGCAACCTGGGCAGTTGACTCATTGATCCTAAATGTCCTCTCCATATAAAGGGTCTGGTCTTCTCTGTGATTTACTGCAGAGCTGCAGGCCCTCAGACAAGCTAGGAGAAGGCTAGGAAGCTATGCAGACCCTGTGGTGCTGTCTGGCTGCTGTCATGAACTGGACAAGGGCTGACAGGTTGAAGTTGAATCCTGACAAGATGGAAGTCCTGTTGTTGTTGGGAACTCCTGACCAAGACCATTTACCTGGTCTTGATGGGATCATTCTCCCCCTGAAGGATCAGCTGCAAATCTGGGTGTGCTTCTAGACCCATCTCTCTCAATGGAAAATCAGGTCTCAGCTGTGGCCTGATCTACTTTTTACCATCTGAGGCAGATCATACACCTTTGCCCCTGTCTTGACGGGACCTCCTTAACAACACTGGTCCATGCACTTGTAATCTTGAGAATAGACTATTGCAATGCTCTCCATGTTGGGCTGCCTCTGAAGGTGGTTCAGAAGCTGCAGCCAGTGCAGAACGCAGCAGCCAGGCTGGTTTCTGGAACATCACAATTTGATCATAGTTCACATGCCTAGGCGTGTCTGCGCTGCCTGCCTTTATGCTTCTGGGCCAAATTCAAAGTGCTTATGTTGACATTTAAAGCCCTTAACAATTTAGGGCTTTGCTACCTGTCTGAGCACTTGTCCCTCAAAATGGCTGCCCATCCCACCTCTACCTCATACACTAGGAGGTTGTGGGTAGTGACCTTGAGGGAGGCCCAAAAATCTGCCCCTCAAAAACTGCTCCTTCTCGATAATTATTCCATCACATTGGAACTTGCTCCCATCTGAGGTACGATTAGCCCCTTCCCTCCTTGGTTTCAGGATACAAGTTAAGACCTGGCTTTCTTCACAAGCCTTGTTTGGCCTTACTCCAGAGTAATCTTGCCGATCGATGGTCCAGCCCTGTTTTGCTGGCATTGGAACTTGCTCCCATCTGAGGTACGATTAGCCCCTTCCCTCCTTGGTTTCAGGATACAAGTTAAGACCTGGCTTTCTTCACAAGCCTTCTTTGGCCTTACTCCAGAGTAATCTTGCCGATCGATGGTTCCCCCCCCCCCAACTCATTTATGTACCAGCCCTGTTTTGCTGGCTTTATTATATTTAATATTTTAAATATTTTAGGTCTATACTTGGTATTTTATCTTTTGTCATTATGCCTCACATTTATCGATTATGTGGGTGTTATTGTGGTTGTTCGTGTTATCCTGATTTTGTTTCCGGCCCTGAGTAGTAGCTCTACCACTAAATGGGCAAGATAAAAAAATATATAAAAAATAAATATTGGCAGGTATAACTAATGGGATTTGGGCCAATATATATGTATAAAATAATATCTGAGCCAGAAATAGAGCAGATCAACACAAGTTTTAAGAAGCTGGGATAATAAAAAGAAATGGGCTTGATGCCAGAATGCCATCAGAGTGAGTGCTGGGTCAGGCTGTATGGGCAAATCATTCCAGAGCTGAGTTTTTTTCCACCAGAAAGTACCTATCCTTGGTAATTGTCTGCCTTGCTTCAGACGGCAGGAAAAGCAGATGAAGTAGAGCCCCTGATGAGGCTCTCAGAATTAGATTATGTTGGAATGTGGTGCCTGCCCAATAATTTGGCACCGTGGGATTTCTCTTTGATATATAAAATTTCCCAGCACTACTGCAGAGAAAGTCTTGTAAGCACAGATAATGATGAGGATCTCAGGGTACCAGATCCTATCCTGAAGGAGAAAATACATGCTGTGATCAGTTGCTCACTTTTTATAATAGTATGCAGCCCTTTACATTTTGTTGGACTGCAGCTCCTATCACCCGTAGCCAATATAACCAACAGCGAGAATGATTGGAGTTGCAGTCCAGCCGCATCTAGAAAGGCCACATGATATTGTTCTCGCTTTAAGGTATCGTAAGATTCTTTATTAATGAATACTGTTCTGTCAAAACGCATGAGCCAGGATAGGGCTGGGTAAATTTTCAAGTGATAAGGAAGTGGAGAGGTCGGTGGTCTGCGCATCTCATTGCCTTAGTAAAAGGGGCAGCCAGGTTGGTGGCCCTCAATAGAATGCAACCCCCCCAGGACCATTTTTGCAACCCTTGAGTCTTCATATCATTTTCTCTGCCTGCAAGTCTCCAGAAGCTGTGACTTTGTTATAAAGTGGGATGCAGGGCCCCTGGTCTCCCACCACCCAAAAAATATTCTGAACGAAGATCACAGCAACAAATTGAAGTGGTGCTTCAGAAACTTGAAACGGGTGTGTCCTTTTTCAGATTGGTCATACTTTTCGTGTTGATGTGGCCCGTGGTGGATTCTGCCTTGGCCTCTCAAAAGTTGCTGATTCCTACCTAGTTAATGAAGCTTTTGTGCAGAATTCTATTGCCAGTTTACACTTGTGTAAATGAAATTGAATAGGGCTCAATAGCAGATTGTTGCTCAAAAATGAGGTGTTAGTTGTGTTGCTGGTCACATGCCTAACTCGGCATATGCCCAGGAATTTGTCACCAACCCCCCCCCCAAGCATAAACCAGGAATAGGATTCTGGGCAAGGTTCCCTCTAAGCTGGATGTGTGTGTGTGCGCGCACCTCTGCTTCCCTCTGCACAGCTGTCTTCCCCCTCTGTGCAGTGATTGCTTTAGGTTCTGGTTGTGATGGGCCAGAGTTGTGTGTGCACACGCAGTAACAAAGTCATGTGTCCATGCAGGAGCAAAGTCCCATGAGAGAGAGGTGGAGCTGAAAGTTAGAGGATACATTGATTCTGGACATTACAAATGTACTGTAGTTATTTTCCCGTGTATTGAAGATGCACCCAATCCTACTTTCACCCTTATTGGTTACCATAGTTCATTGCCTTCTATACACAGATGGTGTTGTTAAACCCTACAGTCCAGTACGCCCTTTGGTGGTGCAGACCCGTCGCCCTGTTGTGCTCTCACCTGGCTGCTTAGCACCATGGATCATCAGAAACCTTCTGGAGCTCCCTTCTTCGCATCAGGATTTCTACTTGTGTCCAGCTGGTAAGCTGAGAGTCGCCAGGCTAAAGTGGCAGAGTTGGGGAGAAAAGGGTGTCCTTTCTCTTTCCTGGAACTGGATGTGACAGGATGTTCACTTTTGGACTCCCTGTGGAAATAGATCTCTGCTCTACTATCTTGGATTTTTGCAACAGGAAGCTTCTGTGTATTCTCTTTCTGTCTGATCAGTCATCATCATCATCATCTTCCTTCTCAGTCTTGAAGAAGGAGAAAGAAAGGCATTTGTACTACTCCATCTGAGTTATGCAAGACTGCAGAGATCTCAGTCTGGTGCAGAAGTTCTGAACATCTGCATTTAAGTAGAAAAAATATAACCCAAACCCATTCACATTTATGACTGTGGGGAAGAAGACTTGTTCATAGGAGAGGATCACCTGGCAATGCAGTGATTGTTGTGGGGTTTTTGCGAATACAGTGCATTGATTTCTGGATCATTGTCCTGGCCTGGGCTCTCTCAGGGAATAAGGGGAAGCCTTAAAGTTGTCCTGCCATGATGCATGTAATTGTATGTGGACAATAAAGGTACAAGAAATTTATTCTGAGTAAAGATTGCTTTCCCCAACTGGATGCCCCCCCCAATATCTGTTGGACTACAGCACCCTAACACACAGACAACTTAGCCAGTGGGTAGAGATGATGGGAGATGTAATTGAGCACATTTGGAGAGTTGCTCCTCTCATACCTGCCTTGATGCTTCAGAGTTGCTCCTCTCATACCTGCCTTGATGGCCTTGTCTCAATGCTTCTTCTACTCTTACCTTTCTTCATATAGGCTTCCTTTTTCTTACTTTGCAAAGATCAAAGGAAACAACACAAAAACAAGAAGAGAGGTTGGGCAAAAAAGGAAGATGACAAGGGCTAATAAATACTTTGTGATTTGCATAATGTACAGCTGAGTCCTTTTCAGGTTTACTCAGTAGTAAACCCAAGTGTGTTCAGTTGGTCTCACTGACGGGTAGATTGGTTCATTAGATTTCAGCCCTGGGCTGCATTTTCTGCTTTGTAACAGAAAGCAAATGTCATTCAATTCACTAGGTTTTACTTTTGATAAAGCATATGTACTGGAGGTCAAAGCTGCCTTTTTCCACCCAGGATTTGGAATTGCTTTGTTGCTCATAACTCAGGCTTATGGGCATTTTCTTTCCCAAAGTCTTCAAGCTCACTTTTTGTGGTTGTTCTTGTTCTTTTCATTCATAGATGTCCTTGCTGAACAAAGGCTCTCCTCTGCCTCCTCCAAGAACGGTATGAATGCTGATAGAATCTCTGGAAGCCAGATGGATTATGAGAGGATCCATGCTATCCAGGAGACTATTGGAAAGGTGAGGAGGGGAGCCAGACAAGTCCAGTTCTGAAAGGCAAGGGTGAATGAAGTGCTGTGCTGTGTATTCTGTAAGGAAGGACCCCAAAATGGATTAAAGCTCACTTTTGCTGCAATATTACCTTTGTGACCCTTGGCAAAGAGAATATTTAAAACGTGCTAAACTCTGTTACTGCCTCTTAGATCAGGGAGTGTAATGATCAATGCTTTTCTGGGCTTTGATTGTTAGATTCTATTAGCACACGAATATTTAAAACGTGCTAAACTCTGTTACGGTGCCTCTTAGATCAGGGAGTGTAATAATCAATGCTTTTCCGGGCTTTGATTATTAGATTCTATTAGCACAGTTTGCTTGTCTGTGTTTGTATCTGTACAAACAATCCCTAGGCATTTTGATTGGTTTAGTCTTCCTTTCTCTGAAGAAAGAACTGTAAGATGATAGCCTATGTAGGTCCATGGGCTAGATCACTTGTCTTGCCCAGAAGACCCATAGCCCTGAAGGTAGCTATGGGCTCCTCCTCCCATGTCCAGTCCATTATATATTGGATGGCCATGCCCTTCAATTCTCTCTTTTTCCTTGCAAGGCTGCTTGTAAATCCCATCTTTTAATGGAATTGCTATTGGAAAAGCAATGATATTTCACCATGTGGGGGTTTGATTTAATATAACTTGTCAGGCCCAGGTTATTTCTTTTCCATTTAAATCGGTAAATCTGTTGGGTTGCCTTTCAGAATAAACACTGCCTGCTAGAGCTGGAGGTCCAGGTGGTGAGGGATCTAATTAAACATGAAATATACCCCATTGTTATCCACATCGAGGTCACTGAGAAGAACATCAAGGCAGTGAGGTATGAGGAGACCTTCTCAAGACTGACACAAGTTATGGGGTGGATGGGAAAAGCTAATCATCTCCAGAGTGTCATGCGGTAACATGGGCAGTGGGAGAGGGGAGTTTGTAGAGGCCTGTGTGAAGCTCTGTTTTTCTCTCATATCGGCTCTTGATTGTACTAGTTTCAAGAGAGGAAAATTCCCTGTGAATAAGACAGGTTGTTATAACAAGGTGTTTTATAGTGCAACTAACCAAGTTGTCTCAGATGTAAGACCCACGTTGTTTCCGTGGGACTTACACCCATGCAAGTGGCTGTAGGTTTAAAGCCAATACCTTTTTGGATGCCATTGATGCTCAAGTAATGGCACCGGGCTCTGCACCATAAAATCCTCCCATCCGTTAATCTGATATGTACTGTATGTTGGTTCAGACACACATGGTTAGGTTTCCAATTTGGTGCCAGGGCAGAAGAGCAAGTGGTTCTCCCCATCCTGGGTACTCAAAGCTAGCCATGCTACTTTGACACATGAGGCAAAGATTTGCCTCTTTCAAGCCCTGGCAGTGACAGTACGGAGACAAATGCAACGGTGCCTGTTTTGGTGACATCCCATATCTGCTGTCCAAAGTGGCTCTCCCACTCTGCCCAATGGTATCACCTCCCGTCTCTGTCTGAGACTGCTTGGGGGAGTCAGTGTCCATGTGCCAGTACCTGGGTGCAGTCGCCAGCATTTTAAAGTCATGTCTATGATAAAGTTGGGCTGGGAAGAGACGTCAATGGTCACTAGTTCTGTGTTAGAACAAGGGTGGACAAGCTGTGGGATCTGGAAGCCTGTGCTCAGGATTTGCTGGGTGTTGCACTGCCCCCCATGGGAGGGGGGAAAAAAACCAAAGCCAAAATATGCACTTCCAGTTTTGTTAGTGTTTTTTTTTTAAACACCTTAAAACAGTATGGATAGATTATATCTTGTTGAAAAGAATTATTTTTATTCTTCGAGGTGCAGTTCTCCTTTCTTAACAGCGTTTTTGGGGGAGGGAGGATTGTGTGTGTGTTTGTGTGTGGACTGTAAAATGGCCTAGGGGGCCCTTATGTTACAAGATTCCCACTAAAGAAGGATAGTAAGACCCAGCTGGCGTGCTGCACAAATTAACCCTGGGCCTTAGAACACACCATTCATTCTCTGCAAGGAAAGGTGTTGTAGACATTTTTGTAATCTGCCATTTTAGAAACAGAGCTTGCGAAAGTACCCTATTTGGAACACAGCTCCCAGAACTTTCCCATGCTCTGGATTTAAAAAGCATGAAGAGAGGAAATTGATTTATATTGGCGATACTGGGCCATCTAGCTCCTGACTGAGTTGCAGTGACACTTTGGGCTCTGACAGGAGTTCTTTCCCTGTCTAGAGAAGTATGGCATTGAAATTAGGGCTTTCTGCTTATAGGGCATGCGTTTTACAGCTGAACCACAGTCCCCCCCAACATGACACAGGCTGCTAAGTTTCACTGAAGGAATGCCTAAAAGACACTCACAGCCTCTGTCCTGAGCTGTTGACTGTGCTTGGGCCTTCAGGGGGAAATCTGGATCATTTCTGCTAGCAATAGAAGTACATCCTACATTTGCGATATCGCACTAGTGCACCAGACAGGGCAAATGCATAACATTTCCTTGGCATTCTATCAGTTCCTGGGATCAGACCATTAGACTTCAGAATGCTTAAACTAACATGCCTGACTTAGCCCATCTCTGCTACTACATAATTCATAGCATCCTGAGGAATATACTGATGATGATGCATTTTCTTTCCTCCTCTGTGCTTTCCTTCTAGGAGTTTACTTGGAAAGTCCAGGCTGCATGATTCTGAGGTGCTGAAACAATGCCGGAGGGCAGAGAGGTCTCTCCATGCTTTGCCCTGCTCATGGGCCTTGGTGGACCATCCGGCCTGGTCTAGTGCAGAGGAGCTGGTGAAGGTGGTGCGGGCTCACATCTTCCAGGAGCAGACCAGGATTGTGTGGGTCGAGGAGAGTGACTTTTGATTGGTGCTGTTGCAGGACTGGCTTTGTTGTTGACTTTGGATCATATGTAGGAGATTAGCCTCTGCAGGACAGTGGCTTGGACTCCTTGACCATGAAGATTTTTCTGATCTGGGATCCCCACCATGCCTCCTGCAGGCTGGGACTTCTTTGCAGTTCAGCCATTTTTTTTGCTTTAATTTGATGGATTCTGCTTTTATTTTGAAAACTCGGGGTTGAGTGAGCCCTGTGAAGAACAGAACTTAGAAAAGTTACTAGTTTGAATTGCAACACCTAGAATCCTGTAGTCACAGTGGTTCCTAACAGTGGATCCCCAGATGTTCTTAGACTACAACTTCCAGAAATCCTGCCAGCACAGCTAGTGGTGGAGGCTTCTGGGAGTTGCACTCTGATAACATCTGTGTACCCAAGCGGGTTGAGTGAGCCCTGTGAAGAACAGAACTTAGAAAAGTTACTAGTTTGAATTGCAACACCTAGAATCCTGTAGTCACAGTGGTTCCTAACAGTGGATCCCCAGATGTTCTTAGACTACAACTCCCAGAAATCCTGCCAGCACAGCTAGTGGTGGAGGCTTCTGGGAGTTGCAGTCTGATAACATCTGTGTACCCAAGACTGGGAACCACTGTTAATGAGTTTTATTTGGTCTACAACTCTCAGAATTCCCCAGCTACCATTTTGCACTAAGTCAAGCCTCCCCCTTTCCCATTAGCATGCTAGCTGGGGGATTCTGGAGGTTGTTATCTAAAGGAGTAAAAGAGTAACTTTTTCAAGCTCTAGAATTCTCCATTTTGCCTCTTAGTTTTTCCATTTCAACTGTTATCAGAAACCTAATTATTGTCTCCTAATTTTGTCCTTCCTTCCATCCCATACCTACCTCATTGCACTCCCCAAAAGAAGTGGGCTTGTCCATGAAAGCTCATATTAAAATATAGCCGTTAATCTTTAAGGTGCTGCAACGTTTTTGTGATTGTGTTCCCAACCCCCCAACCCGGGTAGTTTCCGTGTCCATGAAAGCTCATATTAAAATATAGCTGTTAATCTTTAAGTTGCTGCAACGTTTTTGTGATTGTGTTCCCCCCCCACCTGGCTAGTTTCCACTTTCTGCAGTTTTCTGTGGTTTTTCTGCACCTCCTTTCATGGTTTGACCAAAGGTAGCCAGCTGTGCTGTTCTCTCAGAAACATGGCAGGTGTGTGGACTTATGAAAGCATCGAGAAGGCTGGGTGTTTTGTGTTCCCTGCTCAACAAAGTCTGTTTTCACATACAACCCCTTCCACATCATGAAAAAGATGAAAGTGTTGCTGCTCTAGTTGTTCAAATGTTGGGAGTCTGAAATCCTTGCTGAGCTATTGCAAGTTAGACAGAGATCCACCAAGGGATCCAGAGCTTACCTTCTACCCACGTTGCTCTAGGCCACCACTGTCTGCCACAAAATGGTAAATTTGTTGGGCAAAAGCAATGGTCATGTGCCTTTGAACAATGTATTTATACAGAGCTTGGAGAAGTTATATTTTTGGACTGCGGCTCCCCAAATTGGATGGTAACACTCAGAATGCTGTCTGAAAAATTCTAGGAGTTGAGTCTCTCCTTCCATTAGTTTCCATGCTGTGCACTCAAATTAATGTAAGCAGCAATCCATTTCATCAAATGACTGTGTGTAGGGTAAATAAATTGAGCTTAGGTGAAAATGACTTGCACAGTGTCCAGGCAGTGATGATGATGTTATCAAAAGTGGCCATTCACTAAATTCTTCTTGGTATTAATATATGTGAACTGTAGCCCACAAAAGCTAACCAGGTACAGTATCTGCCAGTCTTTTAAGGTGCCACAAGACTCTTTGTCTCGTTTTTGGTGCAACAGATGAATGTAGTGATTCATCTGGAGATTCTTATTGCACTTGTTAATAATCTATTAAACCAGTAATTCCCAGGCTTTGGTAATCCAGGTGTTCTGGGACTTTAATTCCTAGAAGCCTTCCTCACCAGCTGTATTGCCTGGGGTTTCTGGGGAAAGAACACTTAGGTTGCCCAAGGCTGGAAACCATTGGTGTAGTGGATAGAGTGACAGACCTGAACTCAGGAGACTTTGGTTTAAATCTCTGCTTGGCCAAGGAAACCCACTGGGGTGGTGGTGGTAGCACTGGTAAAACCACTCCTTAAATTTCACACCTTAAAAGACCTATAGGGTCTCTAAATGTTGGTTCTGACTTGAAAGCACATAACACAGAAGGCAACAATTGATTCACACTTATTCGATTTGGACGCCTTACCATCCAAATCTTCATGTGAACTTTGGTGGTGGAAAGCCTAGAGCTGTATTGCCTGGGGTTTCTGGGGAAAGAACACCTAGGTTGCCTAAGGCTGGGAACCATTGGTGTAGTGGATAGAGTGACAGACCTGAACTCAAGAGACTTTGGTTTAGATCTCTGCTTGGCCAAGGAAACCCACTGGGGTGGTGGTGGTAGCACTGGTAAAACCACTCCATAAATTTCACACCTTAAAAGACCTTTAGGGTCTCTAAATGCTGGTTCTGACTTGAAAGCACATAACACATAAGGCAACAATTGATTAACACTTATTCGATTTGGACGCCTTACCATCCAATCTTCATGTGAACTTTGGTGGTGGAAAGCCTAGATGTTGCTGATTATACATGAGCCAGCATCTCCAAATTGTTTCAGTCTTAAGGACACGAAGAGTAGCCAGAGGACAGGTGTGAACTCTGGCATGGCTGTTTGTTCATTTGGTCCACACCACAATTGTGATTTGGAACAACTGACAGTGTGAGTGTGAGTGAAAAATCATGTCAGAGATTTAGCCACTGCTTTGTTCCTCTCTGGAACTCACTGGAAGGACAGATTCTGAAGCTGAGGCTCCAATACTTTGGCCATCTCATGAGAAGAGAAGACTCTCTGGAAAAGACCCTGATGTTGGGAAAGTGTGAGGGCAAGAGGAGAAGGGGACGACAGAGGATGAGATGGTTGGACAATATCATCGAAGCCACCAGAATGAATTTGGCCCAGCTCCAGGAGGCAGTAGAAGACAGGTTGGCCTGGCGTGCTCTGGTCTATGGGGTCACGAAGAGTCGGGCACGACTAAATGACTAAACAACAGCATTGTTCCTCTTTGCAGTCTTTGACAGATGGCTGTGCAAGTGTTCAGCTTGTGATGCTCTGGTTTTATCCAGCTTTTTCTGTGTTCTTTAGAGAAGTTTAAATATCAGTAAGCTAAATTGAATTGTTAATAGCAACTGAAGATGGCTCGTTGAATGAATGGTGCTTGTTGTGTCAGCACCTACATAGGTGCCATTGATTCAGTAATCTAATTGGGACTAACAATTAGATTTTAACCCAGGTGTGGGCAACTTTCAGAGGTTTGAGGGCTGCACACAAACCCCAGACTGAGGATGATTCTTGAGTTGTGGTCTGGGCCTTGTGTTGTTCAGTGTCTTGTGTTGTTTCAGTGACTTGGATAAAGGAGAAGAGAAGATGCTCATCGAATCTGCAGATGACACTAGACTGATAGGGTTAGCAGATAATTCAGAAAATAAAATTAGGATTCAAGATGAGTTTGACAGCTTGCCAGAAAAACCAAACTGAGTTCCAATTTAAAAAAATGTAAGCTTTTCTTCCCCACTGACGCAGTAAGCATCATGTACACAAATGTAGGATGGGTGACACCCTGGCTTGGTAGAAAAGCATTTTGAGATCTTAGTAGATCCAAGTTCATTCAGGTCAACAGTGTGATTGTTGTTATGTGCTCTGTCAAGTCACTTCTGATTTTTGTCAGTTGAAATGCGGTTTTCAAGGTACATGAAATAATGTTCAAGGAGTGATTTACCATTGCCACCCCTCAATGAGTTTCCATGGAGATTTGAACTCAGGCTGCTTTGAGTCCTATTCTGAGTGTGTCCACTACACCACACTGGCTGTTTATAACATTATAACACAATGACAAAAAATAATGCGTGTTTAGCCTGCATAGGGCCCAGATCAAGCAAAGTAATAGTACTGCTCTTCTCATCTGTGCTCAGACATCTTCCAGAGTATTATCTCTAGAAGCATATTGACAAACTGGAACGTGTCCATCAGAGAGCAGCCAAAATAGTAGAAGGTCTGGAAACCAAGCCCTATGAGGAATGGTTGGTTGGAAAAAAGACATATTGACAAACTGGAACGTGTCCATCAGAGAGCAGCCAAAATAGTAGAAGGTCTGGAAACCAAGCCCTATGAGGAATGGTTGAGGTTGGAAAAAAGAAGCCTGAGAGGTGCTATGTAGCCATTTACCAATGTGGTGCTTTTGTGGGGAAGATGGAGCAAGCTTGTTTTCTGCAGTTCCATAGGACAGAACCCAAAATAGTAGATTCAAATTACAAGAAAGGAGATTTTAATTAAACATGGGAAGAATTTCCTGATGGTAAGACTTGTATAACTGGAACAGACTGTGTGGGATGGCAGTTTTGCCTTTGAGTTTATCAGTTTAACAAAGTAACAAGTACATTAACTAACAAAATTGTTAACTTTTTATGGTTAGTGTATCAACTTACCTTGTCAATTAACTACAGTATTTATGCATTGAAGGTGGAGAAACCAGTCCATATTTGGGGTACTTTAACTTGAAATATTAACTAACAAAATTGTTAACTTTTTATGATTAGTGTATCAACTTACCTTGTCAATTTACTATTTATGCATTGAAGATGGAGAAACCAGTCCATATGTGGGGTACTTTAACTTGAAATTTCACACCATTTTAATGATATTAATAAGAATGCCAGGGGACAATCCTTGTAACTAGTTTGCCCCTTTGAACAGCCTCAGCATGACTTCAAGAGCTATGTAATGATTTATGAAGTCATCCATTAGTGTTATGGGGCTATCACAGTTCCAGTATAATCTTAGGTGAGCGTCACTGATGAACTTTGTCATGGAAGTAGATTGTGATTCATGAACTGGAATTTAGTAGTAAGTTGCAACTAGAGTAAACCCATTGAATTAGTGGACCTTAAACAGATGTTGACTCACTAAATCCCCCTAATTCAATGGAACTACTCTAGTTGTGACTTACTGCTAAATTTCAGCCATTGTGTACATGTACACAGGCATAAGATTTTGAAAATTATCTGGGAAATGGACCATAGCTTAGTAATAGAGCCTATGTTTTGCATGAAGGGGACTCAGTCTCTAGCACTTTTTTTAAAAAAATGCTTAAAAGAGGAGGTTCATGGGAATTACCTTTGCCTGCATACAGATTCCTACATCACCAATAATAAGCTATCTATAGAGCTCAACATTGGTATGGCAGTGGGGGTACTTGGGAAAAGGAGAATGGGAAGAATCTGGTTTGCTTTCTCATTTGCAAGACCCTCTTCTTGTCAACAGAAGAGAGAATAATTCTCTTCTTTGCTCA